TTTTATAATGTCTTGTTTCTATGGTGTTTGGTGTTGTAAAATATATAAAAGGAGCACGATGCTAAGAAGCGGACAGTTCAGGATGTGCAGAACCTGTTCAAGGTTTTAGCGCTGATCCACCTCTTGATCCACGGGAAATACTCCAATACTAAGCCAAATTTCAGTCTGGGTTCCATTTGCTTATTAAGAAGTCTAGGGTTCGCACTGATGTATTTTGGTACATTGGTTCCCATCACTTCAGCACTGCATTATGGGTTTTGTAGTTATACAGGTGTGTATCATTCTTCCCCTCTGCATGTTTTCAGTACTAAGTGTGAATGTGATTTGCTTCTAGTATAAACACTTAGAGTTGCACCAACAAGGGACGATGGCTCATAGCTATGGAAACCTGTGGAACAAAACCCATTTTATGTGATTATTATTTGTTGAAATTGTTTTAAATTGTGATGGTTTAATAATTTTTTAAGGGGGAGGAGGGAAATTGTTGATTTTATACTGTATGGGATTTTATCTTGTTCACCGCCCAGATTGGTCCGCCACAGGGCGGTATATAAATAAATTATTATTATTATTATTATTATTATTATTATTATTATTATTATTATTATTAGTGTGTCAATACAGGTTGAATCTCCCTTATTCAAAATTGTGTGTGTGTGTGTATATATATATATGATTCTGGAATATTTACATACACATAATGAGGTGGGACCCATATCTAAACACGAAATTCATTTATCTTTTGTATACATCTTATTGAATGTTGGATTGTGACTCTGGAGACCAAGGTTCGATTTCCAGCTTGAGACCATGAAACCCACTGGGTGACCTTGGACAAGTCACACTCTCTCAGCCTCAGGGGAAGACAATGGCAAACCTCCTCTGAAGAAATCTGCCAAGAAAGCCCCATGATAGAGGGTTGCCTTAGGGTTGCCGTAAGTCGGAAACGACTTGAAGGGACCCAAAAAGAACAAAATACTTTATACGTATTGTATATATGACACAAAAAGAACAATATACTTTATACTTATTTATACATATACCCTGAAGGTAATATTATACACAATATTTTTAATAATGTTGTGCATGAAACAAAATTTGTGTACACCGAACACAAAGATATCGCTATCTTAGCCACCCACGTGAACAATTTTGGATTTTGGAATATTTTGGATTTTGGAAACCAGAGAAGGGAAAATTTACAGGCATTTACCATTTGTTAAGTTCAAGGGAAATGGTTTTCTGGTGCAAAAAAGCAAGAAATATTGTAAGAATGGAGTTTATGTGAGTGGAAGATTGTCTTGAAAACACATGTCTGGTAAGGATGGGACCAGAGTCTGTTTTTGTGGTGGTTGTTATTATTCTTTTTCCAACCCATTGTTGTTCAGTTTTCCAAGACTGACTGTTACTGTGTCCATTTTACAGATAGGAAACTGAGTCTGGGAGAGCCAAAACCTCCCATTAAAGTCAATGGCCAAACCAGAGCCCTTGTAGGCATCTCTCTTTTGTATCAGATTGTGCATTTAAAAAGTGAACAGGCTGGATATGAGTCCATCAAGAGCAATGGAGCCAAACTTAACAATGGGCCAAAACGCACTGCAGAAATAATCCAGTTTGAGACTGCTTTAACTGCCCTGGCTCAGCGCTAGGGAATTCTGGGAACTGTATTGTGAGACATATACTCTATCACAGAGCTCTGGTGCAAAAATAAACTACAGTTCCCAGGACTGAGCCAGGGCAGTTCAAGCGGTCTCAAACTGGATTATTTCTGCAGTGTGTTTTGGCCCAATGACACACCTCTCCCATTGCTTTCAATGGGTCTAAGTATGACTGCAGCAGCATCCAATGTGTTTCATGCAATAAGGAAACCAATAATTTATTTATTTCTTTGAAAGCTCCCCAAAAGTGTAGGAGCTGGAGAGGAAAAAAGAAATCTGAAATATGTAGGAATCTTTGATTTTGAAAGGCAGAGATTGACTTCATAACATGATCTGCACTTGCCTCAGAGACTGACACTTTAATGAAGGTTTCAGGGTTGTGGGTGTTTTTTTTCCTTGCTTTAAAGTATGTCTGAATGTGGTTTAGGGAATTGCTTCGCCCCAAACTTCATCAACTCTTACCCAGTTTTATCCATCTAAGGCTGGACTCCTATGCTCACTTACCTGGGAAGAAATGCATCTTTAAAAAGCCTTGCTTCTGCACAGATTTGTGCAGGGCTGGACAATTGACAAGGCTGTGGACCTCTGGGGAAGAATGTTTTGCAAACTTCCCTGGCCTGGCATTCTCTACTACATTGTTTTGGACTGCAAGTCTCATCATCCTCAGCCACGTTGCTTGTTTGTGATGCCGTTCTGTTTTGTCTTCTAGACCTCATCTGTGCTGCAGAGGTAGGGCAGTTTGATGCTACTTTAACCGCCATGGCTCCACGCTATGGAGTCCTGGGATTGATAGTTTGCCATGGAGCCAGAACTCTCTGACAGAGGAGGCTACGCACCCCCACAAAACTACAAATCCCAGAATTTCATAGCATGGAGCCGTGGCAGTTAAAGTGGTTGAAGCTGCATCATTTCTGCAGGGCAAAAAATGAAGAGACAGGTCAGACGTAGCCCATTGTCTTCTCTCGCCACCTCTTCCGTTATCGCGTTTGCAGCAAGCTATATATAGTCTTGGGCAATTTAAGAACTGATTTTCTCGCACGTTTTCTGCATGTCTCACCTTCTCTCTGAAGGTGTCTTGCCTCCTTTCAGACTGTCTCTGTCACACTGGCGGCAACACACTTGTTGTCCCCAGATGCCCTCCTTGGTGAAACTGGCTTCTGGTGCAAAGATTGCTGAAGTTACTTTGGTGGGTGCTGCTAGCAAGAGCCTGCCCTAGTTTTGCACATCTGGCTGCTATCAGGCATGCTGTCCATGAAGGACTTGGAGGACCATTCTGACTTGCTGCACCTCTGGGATGTTGTGTATTTTCCTGGTATGATGGTGATGGTCCAAAACGCACCACAGAAATAATCCAGTTTGAGACTGCTTTAACTGCCCTGGCTCAATGCTAGGAAATTGTGGGAATGTCGTCTGGTGAGACATTTAGACCTCTGGTGCTGCAATAAACTACAGTTCCCAGGATTCCCTAGCACTGAGTCAAACCAGTTAAGGCGATCTCAAACTGGATTATTTCTGCAGTGTGTTTTGGACCGATGATAATGATGATGATGGTGGTGGTGGCAGTGATGACATTTATTTATATCCCATCTTTCTCCCTAAAACTGAAATGCAAGGTAGCTTCCAATTTCAAACCACAATACAGCATAAAACATACCAGAAAGATCAACATTAAAATGGGATGAAACTTTTTCAGGGGTAGCCGTGTTGGCCATATAGCAAAGTACAATCGCATCCCAAATCCACAAAACAGTGAGATCTTTAATTGGCCAACCAAAATGCGCAAAATACATGATGCACGCTTTCAAAGCATTGTTGGTTCCTTCCTCAGGCAAAGGCATTAAGAACAATGCAGGAGAAAAAGGATTATAAAATGACTATTTTCTCAAGGTGTTGGTTGGTGTTGTTCTTTGGAGGGATATCTATGCAAATGGCCAAGTGGCATCAGGGAAGAAAGCATTCAAAGTCTAGGAAATAAATGAAAATTATAAGTGTTGTTTTGGTAAAACATGCCAAATGTAGTCCCCATTTGATAGACTCATGGTCCCTAACACACTGCAGAAATAATCCAGTTTGAGACCACTTCAACTGCCCTGGCTCAATGTCAGAGAATCCTGGGAATTGTAGTTTACTGTGGCGCCAGAGCTGTCTGGCAAAGAAGGCTAAATGTCTCATAAAACTACAATTCCTAGAATTCCCTAGCACTGAGCCAGGGCAGTTAAAGCGGTCTCAAACTGGATTATTTCTGCAGTTGGAAGAGACTCCAAGGACCAGTCAAACCTCCTTTAGCCATGGAGGAACTTATAAAGCATTCATGACAGATGGCCATCCAGCCTCTGTTTGATTTAATTTAATTTAAAATCTTTTTTTAAAAAAAGTTTTAACTTTCTTGGACAATATTAAAATGATTTCAAGCTATATGTAGAATGATAAAATATTCAAAGATCTATGAAACAATATAGCCCCATCAAACTTTTCCATATTAAAATCCTGCCAGAATGAAAAGGCCTTTGACTAGTGACATAAACTAGAGTTTTGGAATGGGATCAGTGTGGAATAGATAGAAAGGAGCAATGGACCTGTTAACTAACTGAGAAAGTAACTGTGGGCACTTTTATATGAGAAGATAGGGTTTTTTCCCCTTCATCCCTTAGTGCAAAAAGATGGGAATTAGGAATGAGAATTGCATGGCCCTCCAGATGTTGGACTGCAGCTTCCAGCATTCCCTGCCATTGGCTATACTGGTTAGGGCTGCTGGGATTTGCAGTCCAGCTACATCTGGAAGCCGCCATGATTCCCATCCTTACCGTTGTGTCTTATCTTCCCACTTGGTCTTTCAGGCCATTGTCATTTCTTTATCAAATTCATTATAAGCTTTGTCATATTGGGGGTGGGGGGAGACTAGCTAGCTGACAGTCGGAAAATATTGTTTTCCAACAATGAATGACCGGATCCATTGTTGGAGGAAAGCAAACATAAGGTGGCTGTCAATCAGGCATTCATGAAAGCAAATTTGCTCCACATATTGCAAAGGAGACGGAGAAGCAAAACCTATCTTTTAGCATATCAGACCAGCGGTTTTTGTCTATTAGCATCAAATGCCACGATGCTGGAAATCAGCTGTCAGATCCTGCATGGATAAAACTGGGTATGTAGGGCAGGCTTTTGCCAATGCAAAGCACATGTAAATGTTATGGAAAGTGTGGAAAGCCCAAGATTGGAGGTTGAGAAAGTTTTCTTTTTTGCACTGCAGTTTATGCATTTGTTCCATTTATTTCATCTCATTTATTTCCATTTCTCTTGGGGTTCACGCAAAGAATCAGCCAAAAACCTGACAGTAGAGCCAGTGTGGTGGCCTAGTAGTTTAGGCATTAAAGTATGACTCTGGAGACCAGGGTTCAAATCCCAGCTTGGCCATGAAACCCAAGAAAACCCTGTGATAGCGTCACCATAAGTTGGAAATGACTGGAAGGCAGACAACAGCACCCAGAATCCCCAGCCAGAGTGACCTCTGGAGATGTATTGTCTACTGGCATAAACTATGGCTGTTGATGTTCTAAGCTCTTTCTCCAGAGTTTTTCAGCAGTGGTAAGGAAAGGCAGACAAAATCAGCAGCCCAGCAAATGTAATGCTTGGCATCTCAGACTTATCGAGTTAGAAGGGACCTATGTAGTCCCCTGGCAGCACAAGACTCCACAAGGATAGCATCCCTGACAGATGGCTATCCAACTTGTTTAAAAGTCTCCAACAATGGAGAATCCCACACATTCAAAGTAGTTTATTTCACTACCAAACAGCTCATACCACCAGGTAGTTCTTCCTCACATCTAGTCTCATCATTTGAATCCAGGATCAAGTAGTAAGAAAGATCCTCCACCAGAAACCAGGGTGAAACTTCCACAGAAGACACCGGTGGACAAGAAAGTGCAACAAAGCAAGGTCAGGTGCAGAACTGGGAAATAGTCCTTTCTCAGCAAGATTTGTTCAAGGGAGGTTTGTCATTGCCTTCCCCTGAGGCTGAGAGCATGTGACTTTCCCAAGTGGGTTTCATGGCCAAGCCCTGTCCTCCAGAGTCAAAGCCCAGCACTCAAACCACTATGCCATGCTGGCTCTCTACAGTCCCAGAATCTCCCAGCCAGCATGGCCATTGGGGCTTCTGGGAGTTGTAGTCAAAAAGAGGAACATCTCCACCCTCTGTTCAGTTGTCCCTAGGTACATTCCCTGGAAAATTAGAGGCATCTCCTAACCCCTTTCCTAGGGCTCATTCCCACTTACATTTAAATGAGTTAGCAATTCGCTTTCACTCCAGTTTGGTGAATCGATTCCAGTCGATGCGTCGTTCCCACTATGGAAGCAGGTCTTTTCTTTATTCGCTCCTTTTTTGGCATGATCGTCATTCCCATGAGTCTGTGCTGCTTCAAAATCCTTGTC